CCAGGCCGCCTACAGTAAGCCAGCCGGTTGGGTCTTGAATTAGCTGAGGTACACAAAGGCTGATGAGTACTAAGCTCAACTCACTTGAAGAACTCAGGATTGGCTTTTACCAAGACGAATATATAGTTCTTCTTCCAGACTTGATGGATCGCGGTCATTTCATGATGTCAAGACCCGAGACGAAATGCCCGGTGCCAATGCAACATAAGAGAATCCGTTCTTTTCAACGGCTTTTAATTTCTCATACTACGGGGATCGTCTTCTCTCGTTGGTCCAAAACATAGCCGAAAGCCTCATCCAGTATCCTCAAACCTTCCTCGATCTCATCCGCGTCCACAGTCACAGGAGGTGCCAGCCGGAAAACACCGCCCATACCCGGCAGATTAACAACATTACACGACAGTCCCAAGAACATCGCCCTATCGGACACGGCCTGACCAAGATCTGATCCAGGTGCCTTCGTCTTAGCATCAGAAATAATCTCGATACCCTGAAGCAGGCCGCGTCCGCGGACATCGCCGATGCACCAGTACTTCTCCTGGAGCTTCAAGAGACCGGCCCGAAGTTGTTCTCCGCGATCAGTAGCGCGCTGGCAAATGTTGTCTCGCTCCACAATCTCGAGGACTTTGTTGCCAACTGCTGCTGTAAGGGGGTCGTTGAGATGCGTCGTCAGCCAGAGGAAGCCGGCGTCTTTGCACCCTTGCGCGACCGCGGCTGTCGTACTGACAGATGCCAGAGGTAGGCCGCATCCCAAAGTCTTGGACAAGCAAAGAATGTCTGGGACGGTATTGTCGTGCTCAAACGCGAACATTTGGCCAGTACGGCCTACGCCTGTCTGCGCCTCGTCGAGAATAAGCAACATGCCACGCTTCTTGCACTCCTCGCCCAGACGCTTGAGATACCCCTTGGGCAGGTCAAGGATTCCGCCGGTGGAGAGGATGGGCTCCATAATGAACGCAGCCAGAGAACCAACGCTCTGCCTATCAATCATAGACCAACCAAAGTCCATCTCCCTCTCCCAGTCATAAGCACCATCGGCAGTGCGGAAGATGGAACGGTAGGCATATGGTGCGGGGAATGCGAGTTGGCCCGGCATTGCGGGGCCGCCGTTCTTTCGGCCGGCGGAATAGGTTGCGGAGCCGGAACCTGAAGTGAGGCCGTGATAACTTGCCGACATGGCGACGATTTCAAATTTGCCGGTGTGGAGCTTTGCCATCTTGATGGCGGCTTCTGTGGTTTCTGAACCAGTGTTGAGGAAGAAGGACTTTGGGCGGATCTTAGTCAATATGATCCAGACAGACTGAGCACCGTGGCAGGGGCGTTACCTTTTCCAAAGGGGCGGGCAGCAGCTTGCCCAATCTCTCAGCGAGATCAGCAACTGGTTGAGTGATCATGTTACTGAGCAGATGGTCGAGCTCAGCGACATATTTCTGAACGACCTCCACGATTTCCGGATGTGAGTGGCCCAGCAGAGAGCTCATTTGACCAGACGTGAAGTCCAAGATTTGGCGACCTTCAGCATCGTAAAGCTTCGTGCCCTTAGCTTTTGTGATGATAACGGGAGAGTAAGGGACGCCCGTTGACATCAGATACTTGTTGGTCTTCGCCCAGAAGGCGGTCGTGCTCTCAGTAGCCATGATAAATGATTGATTGAAAGATAACAATGCTCGTTAGAATAGAAAGAGATCGCCGACGATGGTTCACCTCATTTGCGTCTAGATCTTGCAGGACCGTGAGTATTTATCTGGGATGATAACAACATGTGTGAGTTTACCGCGGGTAGCGGGGCTGAGGGGCATCTCAGCTTGCCCGAGGGCGACATCTTTCCCGCGGAGCATATTAACAGTCCCGCCTGTTCTTGAGCACAAGCCTCTCAATTCTGTCCAGTTTTCCGAGGAAGTTGGCTACTGTAAGACTCTCAATGGTTATTACATGTATTGATGCGGAAATTGCGACAGTGTGCATTTCAGGCTGGCAAGCCTAAACATCGGCCTGCCTATTCTTCATCCATGTTTCAAGCTCGCCAATTCTATCAAGTAACCCAATGTGTTCCACATAAGCATCCGGACGAACGTAGACGTATCCGGGGTTGTCAAACCCATACAACTTATGCAAGCTCCCGTTTTCGTCAAAATATCCCACATCTTCTTGACTGGAGATGATATGGAAATCAACAAGTCCGCATTCAGGTGCAGAAGCGTTCAGCTCCTTCTCGGATGCGAAGTTCTCACCCAATCCAGTAAATAAAAGGAGTTGATAGTCCAAAGAACGAAAGATATCATGCAGCTTCACCTGCCCGTCCGGGCCTATCAAGGTACCGTTTGGCGCTCTATCCCCTCCGCGCACTGGACCGGTGAAGCCGCTGCCAGTAGCCACAATGTCGCTCTTTCTATAGCGGATGTGGAGTTGGGATGAGAATCTGTAAGCCATCTTCCAGCGATCAGAGTCTTTGAATATGAAAGGTTGGACAATCGGCCCGAGGTAGTTGCGAAGGAAGGTGGCAACAAAGTTCTGCGATGTCATGACCGTAAATATGCGGTCGGTCCTAGCGAGAACTGTCTTTCCGACCGGTGACCTCTCGTTGTTATACGTATCGAGAAATTCGGGGTCCCTTCTGCGTTTCAGGACTTCCGCTAGTTTCCAGCCTAGGTTGATCGAATCCTGTATGCCAGTATTCATGCCCTGGCCGCCAGCAGGGCTATGAACGTGAGCTGAATCACCTGCCAAGAACAGACGTCCATCCCGATAACTGTTGACGCCACGGTTGGACAAGTGAAATTTGCTGAGCCATATCGGATCGAAGAGCTCTCCTTGGCCTGGTGCCATCTTGTCGAGCTGGTCTTGAAAGTCCTGGAGTGTTGGGTCTCTTTTTGTCTTTCCGAGCCAGCTGCTCCCGGCAAGACGAATAACATCGTCGTCAAGCGGAATGACAATGAGTGAGCCCTGGCCGAGCATGAACATCGCCTTGCCTGCTTGTGGTTGTTTCCACTTGACGTGACAGTCGCAAAGGAGGAACTCTTGCGGATATTCTGCGCCCTTGAATTGGAACTCCGTGCCAGCTTCCCGAACAGTGCTGTTTGATCCGTCAGCTCCGACGACATATTTGCAACGGAGACGTTCGACTTTCGATCCCTTCTTGAGTGTCACCGAAACTCCGGTCTCATCCTGGGTAATTGATTGTGCCGTACTTCCACGTTCAGGGAGAACCTCGGAAACCTCCTCCAGGCGTTTGCTCAAGAAGCGTTCCGTCTCGGCTTGTGACGCCAACAAGGGGCGAGGAAAGTCTGTTCCGTACTCCCGCGCAATTCCATCGGAGCTGCCGAAGGTGATGTCAAGGACGGGTTTCTGGTTGATCCATGTCGCGATACCAGTCGGTTGTCGTGCCCGTGAGATGAGTTCCTGGACGTCTCCGTAACGATAGAGTAACTCCTGTGTCCGAGGTTGCACCACGAGTGCTCTTGATTTATCAGATACCTCCTCCCTCGATTCCACGATCCGGAAGTCGACCTTTCTCGCGGCTAACTCGATGGCTAACGTTAAGCCTGTTGGACCTGCCCCAACGATGAGGACGTCGACTTCTGACATACTGAAGTGCCAAGATTCAGATGAGCAATGGGATCAATCAGTGTATGTCTCGCACGATTACAATATGAATTGAATGCAAGATAGGTTCTGCAGACTGGAATCAAAACAGCTTACCTGGATTCTTTGCTTAGACTGTGATGACGTTATGGATGACGCAGGTCTCAGTCTGTGGCTTTCAACTAAGGCTCTCAATTTGGCCAACTGTGAACACTCAGACAGCAGCAGCGCAGTTTGAAACGGCCCTAGTGCATTCATCTGGCGAAAACTCCAACAGTAATTTGTTCCATTCAATTTCACTGGACTCCGGATTTTCATCATTAACAGTAGTTTTGATTCGCTCGCTGAAGTTTGTCGTGTCTGAATGAGTTGATACTCTCTCCAAGAGTCCCATCCATAAAATAACTTAGGTAACAAATGGTAGTTGCACGTTGGAAACACCTGCACCACCTCCGATATCCGGATGGAAAGTTTTAACATACTCCTCTGCTAAACCGTAGGCGTGCTCGAGACCAGCACCTTCAATCAACGATAGCGGAGAATAAGGACGCAAAGTAGGACATTCAGCGACAGATCAATGAGCCATTTATTCACAGAAGTCCATGAACAGTCTTGTGTTATGTGAAACTAAATAGAGGAAGCATCCAGGGCCCCAGAATCGCAAGTCAAGTTGCTTTGGGCATCAATGTCCATGCCGAATCAGGGCGATTACGGCACGCAATGTTGGTTGGACTGGGACATGCACGCCGCTGCGTCCAAATTCACAGCTATGCATCTATCAGTCCACCCAGCCTTCATCTAGAAGCAATGGCATGGCCGTCTGAAGTTTGTATTGGTCTATTGGCTGTCGATGCTGCAAGCTGTTGCCGCTACGTACCTGATTTGCTCAACTACTGCCGGAGGCCGTCAGTTTACTCCACATACACACACACTTGCAAGTTGCCTTGCCCAACAGATGAGCCAACAATGGGAGTAGCGAGATACAAAACGAGAGGGCTTTCTCGTCCGAAAGATATTGGAAGTTATCCAGACTCAACCGTTTCAACTTCATTCCTACATCATCTTAATATGTCTGAGGCGACTTTCCATCAAATTGACCCCAATGGGGACGTCGTTTTGATCCTTCGCCACCCTAGTGCTCCATTTGCGGTCTGGGATGCAGATTTGTCATTTGAGAAAAATAGTGTCAAAGACTAGTACGGGAACATATTGTCTCGAATATCTTACTTCTCTGGTGATTCTGACTCGCTTTTAGTAGCTTAACACGCCCTGACACCTCATCTAAGTGGTTGCGGGCAGCCTGCAGCAAAGATGCCCCGACGAATCTGGAATTTCAACTGCCCCCAGCGATCCCCTCAACGAGCGGAGACTTTCCCACCGATACCGACAGTGGGGGGAAGAAGAAGGGAAAAAAGAAAATGATGATGACGAAGAAGATGATGAAGAAAGCTAAGGCGAGAGCCAGGCTCGGTTCAGTCGAATCAGTAGAGGCGGCAGGGGCATACGGAGAACCAGTAGCGGAGGTTCACCATGAGCCAGTGGCCGAAACATACGAAGAAACAGAGCCAGCTGTCGAAACATACGGCGAACCAGCACCAGTGGCCGAAGTATACGGCGACCCAGCACCAACGGCCGAAGTATACGAAGAACCAGAGCCACCGGCCGAGGCATACGAAGAACAAGAGCCACCGGCTGAGGCATACGAAGAACAAGAGCCAGAGGTATACCATGAGTCAGGTCAAGACCAACCTGAAGAGCAGGTTGTGAAGTTCCTTGTATCGTCGAGACACCTAGCATTAGCATCGAGGTACTTCTTCGCTAAGCTCTCTGGCCCGTGGATGGAAGCTTCAGTCAAGCATATTGATGGCTGCTATCACATGGACGCATCCGATTGGGACTCCGATGCGCTCCTAATACTAATGCAAGTCATTCATGGAAAGACCAGAAGTGTGCCCCGCCGCATGAACCTCGAGATGTTGGCGAAGCTGGCGGTCCTTGTGGACTACTATGATTGCCACGAAGTCATTGAGGTTTACTGCCCTGTGTGGATTGAGTCTTTGAGAGACACACTGCCAGCTGAATACGGCAGAGACGTGATTCTCTGGCTCCTCATATCGTGTGTCTTTGAGCAAGATGGCATCTTCCAACAAATGACACAAGTGGCGGTATCGAAGAGCGACGACCCTATCCGAACCATGGAACTTCCAATCCCCTCAACCGTAGTTGGTAAGTATCTCACTTTCGCTCCATTTTACCTCTTACTGATCGCACCGAAGATATGATAGACTGGCGGAGACAAGTCGCAGTCGAGTTTATGTTGGAAGTGCTTCAGAAACTCCTTCGTGCATTCCGAAACGAAACAGCTGGTTGCAGCTTTGAATGCAGCAGTATCCTCTTAGGAGCTCTCACAAAAGAAATGGACAAGCACAGACTACTCGATCCTAAGCCCGCTAGTCCTTACTCGGGATACTCCATTGCTGGCACGGAGAAGACCATACGTAACTTCCGCTCTCCACAGTGGAGTAGCGAGTTCAACTATTACTCGACAAAGCATCGATGCACTCTTGTTAGCATGATAGATTGTCATCTCAATGGCGAGTTCGACAAGAGCATACAGGGCTTCGAGCTTTCCGAAATTCTTTGGAAAGGGAAGAGCGGGAAGAAGAGGCGTGAACAGTACAAAGCGACACTATTTGCTCAGTTGCAATAGAGGAGGGCCATCAGCCCAGAGTTAAACATGATCCCCGATGCTTGCCTATCGTTTGAAAGACCGTCCTCCCAATCAATGAATCTTCTTACCATTCATTTTGTTCGCCCTACTGCAGCAGTCTATTTTGCCTAAAACCTCGAAACAGCGCATTCAGACGCTCCTGACGATCAACGGATTCGATAGGGATATTGAGCACATTTCGCTTTGACAGAACTCAATTGTTGAAGTATCTCCCAAACTAATGATTATGTAGTGCAAGTGATGCTGTGTAACACTTCATCTATATGCCTGGCACTACCAGCTGATCAACATCCGGCCCCCATCCTTCGGACCTGGAAAAAGTGACTGTATTTTCTCCTTCCTTGAGGTTCACATGGATCGCGCTGCTCCCAGTAGTGGACAGATGTGAAGTCGCAAGGAACGCAACCGACTGCTCTTCACCGTTCACAGAAACCGCAGCATGCCTTGAGGAAGTATCGCCGTTCTTGTGGTTGACGATGAGAGTAACCTGATCTGATGTAGCCACGGTAAAATTGAAAGTAGCAGTACCATCTTCGTCACCGCCTAGGTATCCGGCAGCGGAAGAGCCACTGCACTGCGAACAGTCGACGATGCGAGCACCGTTCGAAAGCGCGGCAGTCTCGCCCTCGATCTCAGATGTAATTGTGCTCTCGGACCAGGTACCTGCAGCGGTGTCGAGATTCCAGGAATCATGCCAGTTGAGAGTCACGGTAGTTCCATCAAATTGAAGGGGCAACCAGATGTAGGTGCTCGCTGCCAAGTTCGTTGAGTGCCATCTGTCGCCCATGTAGATGGCCTTGTCGGTGCCAAGAGGGAGAACAAAGCTGACTTGGCTGCTGTAAGTCTTTGAGCCGACGGGTGCGAACTCTGTCCAGTTAGACCAAGGTCCGGAGAGCGACGTAGCGTAGCTGTAGACCTGCGAAGGAGTCAATAAAACTCACTCAAAAACCAGTCAATGCAGTCTTACGTTGTCGTTGGGGTTCCATCCCGTGAGGTGAGAGCCGAAGATGAAGTAGGTGCCATCGCGCTTGACAAGCGCGGGTGACTCGGCGAAGTACTCCCAGCCAAATGTCACTTCAGCAACATCGAGGTAGTCGTCCGTGAGCTTGATGATGCGGGTACCATACTCGCGCTGTCGGATGGTTAGACTGACTCTTCTAGCAACAAAAGATGGACTTCAGACTTACATCCTCGCTCAACAAGTAGGCGCTTCCGTCATCGTCCTTGAAGATGCCGATATCGCGGCTCTGGAAATCGAACGGGCGGAAGCTGCGGATATACTCGTACTGTCCACAGACACTATCACCTGTTGCAACACCGACTTTGGCATCCTTGTAGTCGGAAGAGTCGATGTGGAGGTGCAGGACGTATTTCCCAGTGGCATCGTTCTTGGTGACCTTGGGTCGCTCAATGATGCGGTTGGGACCGAGGTCACCGGCTTCCTCGGTTCGAGTCAAGAGGCGTCCCTGGAAGCTCCACTCGATCAAGTTTGTGGAAGAGTAGCAGTTGACTGCTTGGAATGCAGCACCGTCTGTCTTCTCCTCGCCAATCATGTAGTAAACACCATTTTCCTCACTACTCCATGTTAGCTGTCTCATACTCTCAAAGCATTGCCATATTTCAACAAGCGCGAGGGCTGAGTTCAACTTACATGATACCTGCGCCATGAGCTTGGACATGCTCTCCAGTGTTCGTCTGTGGTTAGGCGAGTCAGAATAAGCTTCTTCGAGCGACTGGGGTCCACTCACGGCAGTCCATGTTGCCCCTGGAACAACACTCAGGGCAGCGTTTACGCCGCCCACGGTGAGGACGGCGGCCAAAGCAAGTGGTGAGGCACGCATCGCGACTCTGAGTCTCAATGAAGCTACTTGCTGGAGTATGAAGAATAGAGATGCGAACTTGAAGTTGTTCAAGCATCGTGCCAAAGTTGCGCGGCATTCACGATGTTTGTATACACGCTCAAGGTCCAATGCCAATGTCTTGGCAACTTACATGTCAGAACAGATTACGTAGTTGCCCAGCCATTGGGAATTTCTCTGGTTGTTGCGCATATAGAAACACTGGTTCGGGTCAGTATGAAGCGAATGAGCAGTATTTCCAGGTTATACAGCGTCACATTCGACAGGTTGAATTCGGTTAGCCTTCCAATCAAACAACCACTGTGGGGATCTCGGAGCCGAGCATAGCGTCTTTCCCCAGCTTCTTCATCACACTGTAACGGTGATTGTCGATGGGAACCTCCACAGTGACCCCGCATCCAAGGCGGGAAAACCTGCTGATCATCAGGTTCAAGCGATTGCTCAACGCGGTGATCGACAGGGCCAAGACCACGGGCATCGGTTGAGGGGAACGCCGCGACCAGTCCGCGTGATGCAGTTCATTGTATTGATATTTTAATAGTCGAATGCCAAGTAAACTCAGCTTCGTATGGCTGAATGGCTGGAGGCTGGGGGACCACTGGCTGTGCATCTTTTCTTGCCCCACGAGATGCATCGTCTACAATAGTGTTCAACTTGCCCAATGCAGGTTGATTGAAGTCGTTGAGATGGTAACGGGCTTCTCCGTCGACTCAATGTTAGGAAATGTCTCTGAAACCGAAGCCGTAACTCAAGCCCCATCACCTGTTAACCTCTCACAGCCTCTAATCAACATGATCGTCTTTGACTGACTGCAAGGCTCAAAACGACTTCAACAAGCTGCAATTAGCTATTAGATCAGGGGATCTTCTAAGCAACCTTATAATCTGGCAGCTTCGAACAGTTGACCATCACAACGTGCATACTTCAGTCACAGGCCCCACTGAGGTTCAGCATAGGTAAGTTGCAGCCATCGTCGGTAGATAACTTCGCTTCGACTTATTACAACATCGACTTGAGGTCCTTGGGATTCCATAAAGATGCTAAATGATAGTGAGAGAGATGGAGAATTGAAGAGAGAAACGTATAAAATCAAAAAGCGTATTCTTGGAACACAAGATCCAGGCGGCCAGGCCAGTGAGCACTTGAAGCATAACTTACGGCACGCTACGTCCTTTGAAGTCGAAATGAGCATGTGAGTTCCATTCAGTTTAGAGCAACCATTAGGACTCGCTATCATTGGATATCATGTGATTGACTCGCAAGATAATCCAACTTATTCCGTCTACTTCGATCGGCGTGAACATGAGTGCCGACTTCGAGGGTAGAAACGCATCATTCCATCACAGAAGTCACTCCTCACCAGGAGTGGGGATATGTCCCGACCTCTTGTGCTCGCAGCCAAAAAAACATCGCATCTTCGGGCAACCGGATAACATGAGTTTGTGCTTGCATGATTGGGAAGGGGTCCACAAGGCCTGAACGAGAAGCGTGCGATGAAAGCTCGTCTGTAAGTGTCCGATGATTCAAAACAACCAGAGGATTACCGATCTCAGAGTCCAGTCAGAGTGAGGCTGCAACAGGCCGGCGAAGTGGCTTCTCAATCTGGATCTTCCTCGGCATGCAGGTACTAGGGGTTTTAGACTGAGCTAGCCATCCGAACAGTCGCTCGCTGGGCTATGACGACTCTCCCAGGTACCCGGAAACGTTGATCGACGATGACGAGGTTCCATCACATTCGATACGATGAAGCTCTAGACCAGCCGATGTAAATAAGGTCCTCTGGTATCTTGCCAGGGGTGAGATAGCCCTAGGCCACCAATCAAAACCCCGATCGAACGTGATCTCCTGACTTGATGATGCTTGAATCTTCCAAAGACGGGGAACTTTCGACTGAAAATCTAGATGGTGCAATTAAAAGTTCAAGACGACAGCCTTCACATGTTGCTCCGGGCCTCGTAAAATCCTCCGAGGTTCTTTCCCAGCGAGGTGGAACCCTGATATCATTACCATATTTTTGACAATCTCATCCTGGTTTACATGTCAATCATTCGGCATCTCATCCGAAGTAAGACACACAGACACGTCACTTATACCAAACTCGCCCAAGGCCACCACTAAGTCACCGTCGATTTCCTGGCCTTGGCGCCTTGCGGCTGCTCCCTTTGCGTATTCGGATTGTTTGGTCGTCCGATGTTATATGGGTAAAGACCGTACAGACCATCCCTGCTCTCCTACTAAATTCACAACGGCCAACGGGCCCTTTAAAGTCTAAATCCGTGCCCCACGGCCTAAAGCGGATGCTTAATGCGAGAGCATGAATGGACGTCATCCACTGGCGTTCCAGGGACTGATCAAAATAGGCTTCGAGGTGCATGTGGGCCGTTGGGTGTTGATTGAACTCTGAGGTAATGTCCATCGTGACATGGTATGACGGGATCGCATTCGCAGAACCAAGGAGAAGTCAGAAAGGGGCTTTCATCATTACCAGAATCTTTATAAATCGAGTGTAAACTCCCCTTCACAGCTTGAGCGTTGATCAGCGTCAAATACTGTCTACCACATCCACAACAAACAAAACCCAGAAGACACTACTCAAACCACAGCTTCAATTCCGAATCCGCACGCGCAATCAAGCCAACCACTCACGACTACAGACATTCAATATCACAGAGTCGAGCCAAAACTATCAACTTAGCCAAGCTCAAAACGCCTTCCACAGCAAGACCCTAACAATCTCACACAACTTTCAACATGCGTTTCTCAACAGTTACCACTCTCCTTGCCGCCACACTCGTCGTCGCCGCACCAGCGCCAGCCGACCTACAAGCCGACGGCGGTAAGGACAAAGGAGGCAAGAAGGAGGGAGGTGCTATTGCCTCCTGCGAGGTACAAACCGCCGCGGACCACGTCAAGTGTATCGACGCCTGCGGAGCCGCCAAAACGTCCCTGTTGAGAAGAGCAGACCAGGGCCTCGGAGGCAAGGGCGACAAAGGCAAGGGCGGCAAGGATAAGGGGTGTATCATGGATTGGTAAGTTTACAGAATGGCTTGGACCAGTTCCTCGAGGGCTTTGACTAATGTTTTTGCAGCACCTCCAAGGCTGTGGCAGGCTACACTGGTT